TCCTCTCCTTTGGGGCGACGGAAGACTTGGATACTTGCATTTTCGAACCGGACCTTACGGTGAGTAGAATCGGAAGCCGGGGAGACATCGCACCGGTAGCGGCACCGGGGCGCTACGCCGGGTGAAACACAATGCGGGTACGTGCGCCGGCGAAGTGGGCCGCGCGCGCGCGAGCACCCACGATTAATATTCCACCCCAGGCCGGGCCGGGCCGCTGCTCCCGGGAGTCAAAACGCCTCGTCGTATAAAACCCTTCCCCAGTGACCAGAGGTCATTCACTATAATTCGAGCCGCGACAAATGGCGCACTGACGACTGACCGATCAGACGAAGATGAGACGACTCGTGATCCTCGGTTTCCTGGGGCTGTGCCTGGGCTCGGAGCTCGACAACAGCATCCCGACCTCCGGCGCCGGCCGCTACATCGGCTCCGGGGACGAACTCGTGAACGCGGTGGTCAACGATTGCCTCGCCGGCGATCAGAGTGTGGTGCGGTGTCTCAAGATCAGGGTCCTCGACTACTTGGACGTTAGTCTCAACGGCGGGAAGAGGTCGCTCGAGGCCGAGGATGAGGTGTCCGACGAGGAGCTCGACAGCGCCATCGTCCACAGGGTGAAGAAGTACATCACCTCGCACGACTTCAAGCTCCACATGCCCGACTTGTTCTTCCAGAGGGCGACCCTCGTCTTCAAGCCGGCCTCCAGGGCGCTCACCGACTTCGACGTGGAGTTCCCGCCCCCCAGCGAAAACGAAAGTCGAGCTATTTCTCAAGGTATGTTCAAGTGTTTGATATTTCAGGGGCTCGGAGGACAAGGCGCATAAGTGCAGTTTTTGCCATTTCGAGAAATACAGGTTTGAAGTTTTAAATGAACATCGAGCCTTATGGCGGAAAGGAAGTGTAAACTCTTTTTTGGATGCCTTAAAGTTGGATTTAGTTGTGAATTTTTCACAGAATATGCTTTCAAAGAAGTTTTAGTTGACTTCTATTTCAATTTTTTCAAAAACTTCACTCATGCGGCTTGTCCTCCAAGCCCCTCATTTCGTCTTCTGGAAAATAGCAAAAGACATTGTAGTACTTTAAATCCTCCATTGATACATTTAACCTATCTTAATTAAAATTAAAGTTAGATTGTGTGCGTATTCGGGCACGTTGCATTATAATATGGGTCACAATTTAGAGCTCGGAATGATGTACAGGAAGGTCTGTCTGTGTACGTAGAAAGAGCTTTTAAGATCAATGATGAGTTTGACGGTGATTTCTGGATCAAATTAATTTCTCAACTGATTGAGCTCGAGAAAACGTCATTCATACGTGCACCTAAACGCAGTTCTGCAGTTACATACTTTGTTCTTACGCTCATTTGAACGGCTGATATGCGCTTGCTCTCATAGACGTATTAATTAACGGCAGAGGTTAAGGCTTAGTTCACATTGGTTGACTTCTTTTTTGTATTTTGAAGGTTTAAAGTATTACAATGTCTCTAAGAAGAGTAATCCGGGTTAGCATGTGAGACGTGACGGGGAATATCTTGCCATTTCGTGTCAATATCCAAATTTTCTTCAATTGTACAGAATTTGTTCGTCTTTGAAAATGTATTTTGCAAGTAAAATACATGTGTCCTTGTCCTTCAATTGGATTTTCTCCCGTCGTCGCCTCTTTAGTGGGATTAAAATGGATATGCCCCCCCCCCTCCTTAGCCGATTTTCTAAAAAAAGCTCTAAGCTTTGAAAGTATGGAGGGAATTTTTAACGTTGTGTAAGAAAATTATTGTGGCAAAACTATTATGTGGAATGGGCGGTTGTGCTTAGTCGCAAAATTTGTGGTTGAGTTTAACATTTCCTGAATAGGCACGCAGATGGGGGTATATGATTTGACTGCCGGCAAAGCAATCAAAGATTTTTTCTAAGTCAAACTGTGTTGATTCAATTTAAGTTTTAATTTTCCCTAATAACTTATAACATTATAATTGTTGCAAGTCCTTTTCGGGGTGATCCTCAGTGCGTGCGTGGGCGCACAATAAATTTCAATAAAGTTGAGAAAGAAATGTTTTGAGAATATTCTGAAAAAAAGGATATTCAAAATAATGTCTTAAAATATTCTACTTTTGCCGAATTAACATTTGCGGCGACTCGAGGTCGATATCGATTCACGAATGATTATAGTTCCATAGGCTATTTCTTATTAAGATCTCGTCCTGTTTTCCAAATTTTTAATGGAAAGGCAAAAGTAACCTCCGGAAATTCGATCCTTTCGGATATGTTTAATAAAAGTAATGATGATCTTTTAATAACCGGTCGGATATGAATTGCTCCGAATTGAGCACCAACTTCATAATCGGATAAAATTGATTTAAGGTTGATAATTTTAAAAGTAAGGAGACCTCAAAAGCTGCAAATTGTACCACTGTTATTTCAATACTTCAGCCTGTAGAGAAATGGTTACCCTTTCGTGAAAATGGATAAAAATATAGTGACACTGAAGAGTTGTTGGGTTTGTAATTGTTTCAGCTCGCGAGGACATGCAGCACAAGATGGTTATGCCGTTTCTCATGATGATGAAGATGATGTCGAAAATGATCACTCCCGTCATCATGATGATGGTTGGTATGAAAGCCATGAAAGCCCTCGTGCTCAGCAAAGTAGCAATTCTTCTAGTCGGAGTGTTCCTCTTCATGCAGCTTTGTAAAAAACACGGTAAGAATGATTTGACATGTGGACTTAAACTTTGAGTTAGCATTATAAATCTCATAATTAAATTTAGGTACGATTTCCTTTGAATACATGGAATTTTCGCAAATATACTGTCCTTTTACGAAATTGACGAATCTACTATGCCAATCGATACTCAAAAATGTGCCAAAACAGGGGCTCTCTTGTGGGACCTATAAATATCAATATTTTTAAAATCCGTAGAAAGGTTTTTTTATCAGGAGGTTGGGGGCACCAACTTTTCACTACCAGTTTTTTAGTATCGGAAAAGGTGCAACGAGCCACCCTACTGAGTAGCTATATTTAATTTTTCTTTCTCAACTAAACTCTTGGCACTGTAATAACAGTTTAGGTGGAAATTATCAAACCCCACTATTGCGTAAAAACTCAAGTTGAAGTATGGTAAGAACCAAATTGAATGCCAATTGGCTGGCTAAGCTATCAAATAAGAAAGAAAGATGATAATCGAGCTACAAGCCAAAAAAAAATGTGTATTCAAAAATTTGTGTTTCATAAATATGTGTAATTTCTTTTTTTCTTGGCTTGTGGCTCGATTGCCATCTCTCCTTTTTATGGTAAGAACTACTCAATTTTTCTGCGTGTGTTTGAGTCATTTGATTTCTGGCTAAATATTTCTCAAACAAAAATTCCGTTAAGCCCAATTCGCACTATCAAACTTTTCATCCAACATAATTGAGCAAAAAATTGGACGGAAAGGTCAACGCAAAAAAATTTGATTCCATTACTCTCCGGTCAACTTTCCATCCAATTTGCACCGCCAAAAGTTGAAGACATAAGCAACGAAAACAGACCGCCAAAAAAACGAAAAGTTGAATGTGCCATCGCATTCAAATTTCCATTCAATTTTTCATCAAAGTGATGTTTTCTCGCAGCATCACACTATCTAATTTTTCATCACGACAAGTTGCTTTCAATAGTCGGATGAAAAGTAAAGTTTGAAAGTGTGAATTGGGCTTTACCTACGAGCCTATTCCGACTCGCTGGATTGATAATTCTCCATTTTTTCACAGGGATGATGATGCCTCCCGGAATGGGCGCCATGTCAGTAGAGCCGGCGCCCTCATCCGCCTACGGGCCCCCCTCGAGCGCCTACGGGCCCCCGCCAACGGCTCCGATGAATTCGTACGGGGCGCCGCCCTCGAATTCCTACGGATCGCCTGCCTCCTCCTCACCGGCCGGCTCCAGTTCCTCTTACGACCAGGCCCCCTCGTCTTGGGAGCCTGCCCCCTCCGCTAGCAACAACCAATACTCGAGGGTATACGACCCTCACCAAGTAGCATATAACGCCTACTCGACCATCGGCGCCAGCTCCTCCAGTTCAACCAAATACTAACGGGTAAACTTTCTACGGTCTCCAGCACAAGGGTCTCGATTTTAAATTTACCACCTGAGAGATGAAGTCTGAATTTTGGCTCTTAGTTAAGTAACTCGAGCATTGAAAAGCTCCTCCGTTATCCTCTAAGTGAAATACTTACTATTTAATGGTCACGACGTCAGAAAAAATAGTTAATAATACACGAAAAGCTCAAATTTTATTTTATACTTAATTTTCGACTGCGTTAATCATTTGAACATGCGAAGTTTTTAGAGCGGGCATTTGACCTAGACACGACATATTTTTTGGAAAGAATTGGGCATACTGATTCGTATTCAGCCTCTCTACTTCTTGAAACTCCTCTCTAACATTTCGACCCTTGTGATTGCTCTATCCTTGAAACTTTGGTGGTTCATGATGGATTCCAAAGTTAGTTCAATGTTGTTCCCAAAGAAAGCTCTAGTGTAAAGATTTACCAAAAATCAATAATTTGTAAAGTAAGAGATCGTCTTTAACCTAGCACCCATAGGTTATGATCAGAGTGCTGTTTCCCTGAAGTTGACTGATTTTTACTCGTAGTATTTATAACTGTGATTTTTAAACACACGATTCATAAAGTACTTTTTCAGTGAAGAGATTATCAGGAAAAATAAAAAATAATCTGCTTAATGTTCGTGTACAGCTCTTCTCACCAGTGGAGTGTCCTGAATCTGCCTAAAAGCACAAATTTATGATAGAGACTCTAAAAATAGTTCAATATTTCACTAGATATTTTCAAAACTGAATTTTGTCAAAAATTGTAAATCCTTAAAAAGAGACTTTCTTCGTTTTTTTTTAGAGACTGAGGTATTAATTGTTTTATTGATTTTAAATAATTTTATGCAAATTATATAAGTTTAAGAACAAAGTAAGGAATTCCAGGTGAAGTAAAAGTTGAAGTAAAAATGAGTTAAAATAAAATTAATAGATACGAGTTGAGTTTTGGTTAACTTCGGGTGAAAAGACTGATTCTCATGATACCTCCTCTTTTAAAGTTGTTGTAAATAAACCTTTTGTACATTTGCTCATTATTTATTTAATTTATTACATTTGAGATTTTACTGTAAATGTGAAACATGTGGCTGAAAATAAAACATTTAAGTTCTAGCAATTTATGTATTCTCTCTTATCTCGTTGGAAGAATCTTCTCCTTTTTTAATTATATCCTAGAACAGCTTCAATACTCTAAGTTGTGCTTCTTCATATTAACAATTTATTTGTAACATTGAAAATCTGAGAGTTTGTTGTCCGTCTAGAAGAGCCATCATCATTTGTGTCAAAAATGGGTGGCGTATTAATTATTTCACAGATTATTTTAAGGTGCATTGACGCTGATAGATACTTTACATAGAAATAAGGACATTTCTTATGACTGGGTAAAAAATTGCATAGTAGTAACTTAAACAGAATAGAGTTAGAGAAAACTGAAAATTTGGAGGAATCTACAGATATTATTTCATTCCCAAAGGAATAAGATAACCTTATCTTGTAGTTTAATTATTCTCACAGAATATAACATCTTTCATGTTCATTTTGTAAATTACTTCCTTCCATTGGCCTGATTAAAATACAGAAAAAAGGGAAGGAAGGAGGGGAAAAGTGTAAGAGGCTCACACACTCCGTAATCTTCAAGAATTCTAACAGATTTTTATTTTGCATTGATGCTTGAATCAAAATATGCGAAGTTAATGTGCAAATATAAATTTCGACTCCTGATGTTTACTGTCAAAACAGTACGAACAATCAAATTTTGAGATGCTCTTCTTTTTTCTTCTTTTTGGCGACTACGTTCTCAACCTCACATATTCATAGATTTTTTTTAAAAAATTAAAATTAATTTCACGGCAAGAAGGGGTTCTGAAAATATATTTTAACAATTGAAGTCAAAGTGAAAGAAGTGACTCTCAGCCATCAGAATCATGGCTAAACCACGGCCACATTCATCAAGATGCGAAGTGATCAGCTGGATTTAAAAGCGCCTTCAATTTTTGCGATACAATTTTAACGACACAGGAACACGATTAGATGCATCAGCGGAAAACCTGGTTGTGAGGGGACTCTGAATGTGCTAGTTTTGGAGTTGAATTATTGAAGGATTGAAATTCAGTTTAATGATGTTCACATAAAAAAAACTTATATCCCTTTGTTTCGATGATGAAGGGGACAGAGTAATGAGTAGAGAAATTTTGATCGTCTTTGGATTTTGAATTATGGATGGACTTTAGTTTAAAAGGGCACAATAATTCCTTATAGAGCGCATTTTGTCCAGTTGGATCTGGATTTGATAATTTGATGAAAAAATATCAGTGGTGTCCGTAATGATAAGTTACGAGCGGTTTAGTTAATTTTTAGATGAATAGATGGCGTAGGCTTACAGATAATTCTTCAATTTCGTACCCTAAACGTAGCTTGCAGAATCTTAAATACGATTTTTCCTCGGTCTCTTCGATTTTGGGGCTACAAAGATCAAACCGCCATAGCTTGGTTCGACACTTTCGGGTGATTTTTGCCTTAAAATGTTTGCAAAACTCTCCTCTGTACTCTAATATCACTAATAAGATTTTAAGCTTTTATGGACTCAGATCCTTTTTTATGCGAACGGTCTAAATTACATTCCGATTGAAACATTAAAAGGCTCCAAAAGAGCCCTTAAAAGGTTTGAGGTATTTTTATGATTTGTCTTCGTCAATGCTGTATCGTAATATTTCCAATTAATTTTTAAAAAAAAAACCACTCACAAAGGCTCCACCGCGATTACGTTAAACGTCCATAATGTTAAAAAAGCCTCTCAAATGATGAAAAGGCAAATATGGCAATTTTTTGTCTATATTTCTTGGATAAATTCTAATGAAGTTCAATTTGTCGTTCAGAAACAGTCAAATTAACGACTTTATCAAATGATTCAAATGCCTTGATTTATGGTCAAGTATTCTTGTTAAAATATTTCTCAAACGTAACGTCCGCTGCTTTAAAGGGGAAAATATTTCCCAAATAAGGAGATGAAGGTTCTAAAATTTAGTCTAAAAAATATTTTTACTATCGTTTCTCAAAATCATTTATTAATTCAACTAAATAGAGAAAGTAGCATTTTTACTAGGACAAAGCATTCAAAGTTGGAAAATTTTGATTTTATAACAAGTTTTGAATTTTTTGGTGTTTTAAACCAGATGTAAAACCGAAAAATACGGAGTGAAAATTTATAGCGTCACAAGTCGTAAGCAGAGGGCTGATTAAAGAAGTGACGGCTACATACAGTGCCGTGATTCGTTAACCAACGTGGTAGGTACTGACATGGATACATCACCTCGGTGATTTATTCATCACACTGAGAGAGTATATTTTAGGATGCTTTAAGTAAAACTCAATAGTATCATTAAAATATATATTTATATTTACTGCAGCAAAACTGGCATAAAATAAGCTTAAACTTAGTATGTGAAATTAGCAAAAGTATGATATTTTCGACGTACAGCTGTAAAACTGGGTTGATCGTGGCATTTGAATAAATTAGCGTAAATGGGTGTACTTATATCGTAAAAGCACACCATGTACTTATATCGTAAAAGCACACCATGTACTTTGAAGTTCATACTGTTACAAGGACCATTCCAAAATGGTTTATGAAAGAAGAAAACAAAAAACTACAAAAGTTACTTCATTGAAAGTTGTGTTTTAAATTGAGGATATTTCAAGTTTTAATGACTATGATTTTGTTTCAAAATGCAAAAACACCTCAGTCTAAATTCACAACTAGGGTACATTCACATTATTTACCGCACATCAAAGCAAGGGCTCGAGGTTTTGATATCATTGATTTGTCAAAAATGCCACGCCCAGAGTGATTTTTTAGGTGAATTTGGCTCGCTTAAGCTTTCAAGTTTCAGACTTTTATTGAAGTGTTTTCAGCATAGGGCTGCAGCCTTCTAGTCAATTAATGTTTCGCATGGTTTCATTATGAACACCTGTTTTTTCTAAAAATTTCCTCGGATAAATAACTTTTAACTTTCCATATCAAGCTGCTCTTTAAACAGGCGAGAAAAAATGTAAATCTGAACGATTATGGTGTACGTTTACAGTAAACAAAATCATGCATACAGCAAGATCAGTGGTCAAAATTTGGAGCAGAATAACTTTCGCGCAATATGAACATATCCCAAATGCGTATTTAACATTTTAATGAGCCTTTCTAGAATTTTACCTTACCAGTAAACAGGGCAAGGCGGCAACTGAGAGGAGACGACACACGCCGCGGCCGTGAGGGAAGAGAGTACATGCATGTAACTTCACACAAGCCGCGCCTTCAATCAGATTGAAAGCAATTTTACATACCCCGATGAGCAGACAACTGTTCCTCATAAGGAGTCAATTGGCTCGCTTCACTTGGCTGATCAGTGAGGTGCCAGTTTTTTTTCACTCGGAAGCTTAAAATGAATCGAACATATGGAAAATACTGTTAAAATGGAAAGTACTGAAAACATGGAAAATAGCGGTGTCACGAGTTCAGCCTTGTATATAATATCATTAGACGAGACCAAAATCTCGAACGGTGTGTCTGGTTTCACCATGCGAGTTGTAGTTACCACTCATTTACTCTTTTATTTTAAGTGAATTGATAGTTAAAATTTTTATAAGGGAATTTTTTTTTTAAATTTTATGGCTACCTATCTATAAAAAAGAAAAGGTAAAAAATTCATATAGTTCTTTCATAGAGTTCTGTTTTCTTTTACAGAATATAATACATTGCATATTATACAGAGGAAACTTTCTTGATAACATGCTAAAATTACTTTTTTAATCAACGTAGAAGTAAAGTTAATGGATAAAATGCATTTTGCCCGTATACATTCTCGCAAAGAGCCTCGGCTCGGAGAAAAAATATGATTCAGGTGTTGCATGCTTACAAATTGAAGGCGTTTTATACATTCGACACTTATTGATAGAAACCTTACGGGAATACCATTTTGGAGAATTCTTTAAGGTAGATGTTAAGTAAATACTTTTTTTTTTGCTCTAGCTGAAGTTGCAACAGGCCCATTTCTGCGAAAAAAGTCCGTAGGTGTAAGTCAAGAGAAAACTACAAAAAACCCCAAAAAACTTTCAGATTCTAAGGGGTAAAGAATCCGGCCAAAGTCTTAAACTTGTTGAACCAAATGTTCTTATTACTCGTAAAAGAAAATTAAAAATTATACTTTACTGAAAATCGAATGTGGGCCCCTTCATAAACGAGTGATACAACATTCACTGTATGTGTGTATGTGAACCTCTTGTAGTTTTGTAGGAGCCCAAACGGTTCGCTCTTTGCAACAAACGCTACATTCGTGAATGGAAAGTCCTTGAAGGAGCACATAACGTCCTTTTTCTTTCTTTAACTTTTGAATTTTTTATTCAGAATNACCTTTTTTCGTTTGGAGGCTTTCCAGTGTTGTCGAGTTTAGACTTTGTCCGGAGGTGGCTACCGCCACCCATGATATGGAGGACGAGACAGGACATTCATTCCTTTGCTGACAAAACACGTGGATTTGAATCGATACATGTGCATACTGTATGTGAAGAGACATTATTAAGCTGCAAAAACCAGGAATTCTGATCCCACGCACAGTTAGGCTTCATTCTGCAAACACTTAACAGTGATTTACGTGACTCAATGTTTCAGTTTACAAAACTTCATGTTGTACCTTTGCTATAAAAGTGACTGCATGTTTACAAACGCAAAACACTCCTGACTTACTCTACTTCAGCCTGTTACCAAATGTATACTACTTGAGATCATCCAAATATGTGATTGCAGTGTTCTTCAGTGCGTTATCAGCTTCCAGACAAGATCAAGAAAACTTAATTCGGATGCAGAATGAGCTGGTTATCGCCAAAATCCGTTTTTCAAACTATAGCAGACCAATCTCTCTTAAAGTCGAGAATCACCAAGAGTGCCGATTATTTACCGATCAAAGTTGATTTATCATCCCAATAAACTGAATAATGAATAATTCGACAACAATCACAAGGATCATTTTTACGAGATGCTCTGTGTGGATATTTCTGTACCCCGCGCTTATAATTTACTTCACAGAAAGAGATGAAAACCTGTTAATTCTTTACACGTTGTTCCCTCTC